CGTGCAATTTCAGATGCAATTGCTGATTCAAGAGATTCCAAGTAGGCTGAGATTGCCATGTTTAAAATGCTTGGAGAGGCAGTTACTCCGAATGGAATCCTAGTAAAACGGTACTCTATAATATTCGTTTTGGATGGTGGCTGCTTAGGATCCTTGAGCCATAGAAACCTGCACAAGTCTTTATGGGATGTGCAAAGGCGTATCTGTGTGAATGCTGCCTCGATATCGCAAAGTAAAATATATTTACTTGTTCGAGATGCGAGCAATATGTCGTGAATCTTATTTACAAAAGATTCTCCTTTGTGGATTACGTCGTTTAAAGAAAGCTCGCCTCTCTTTTTTGAAGAAGCATCAAAAACAATTCTCAGCGGTTTTTGTTTTTCTGGGCGCCAAACGCCAGTATGCGGCATATAGTACTTGCCTACAGCACCATCTTCTGGTTCGTAAATCCTCTCGATTACGTTCTGGTGCTCGTAATCTGTGAGTGTTCTGCTATACCACTCCATCTGTTCGCCATTGGCGTGTAAGTTCCTTTGGAGAGCCGCCAATCTCTTGATTGCGACCCCATAGTTATCGCTGAGTTCAGCGATATTGTCCTTGAGTGGAAACGGCGCTGTGATATAGTCGCCGTCGAACGTAATCGTTTTCGAGTATTCTCTGAAGTACTTTAGAGTACCCTGATCTTTGTCACATTCAAGAGAAGTGATTCCTATGTTTTCTAGCTCGAAAAGTTTTTGAATGTTATCGCTGTCTGAACATTCGCATACTGCAGACATGGAGTGGACCAGAGCGGTTGTGTTATTGTTGTCATTGATATGGCCACGACCATAGACAGTAGGGCCGAACACTGTTTTGGCTACATGCAGACCTGACGAAGTAGTAGTAGCGGTTGTATTCGAAATAATGAAATCATAGTAGCGATCAAGGCCGACTAGGATATGAGGAATCTGGCGTTCTCCTCTAATTTTTGAGTTTGCTATGCATAATTCACTCTTTTGTAGAAAATCACGATCACTTTCTGTAAGTTTGACGGATGGAAATCCGCCAGTTATGATTGGCTTTGTTTGTATGGTCATATCTATCTCTCTGCCATACGCTGTGCCAACTTTAAGGGCCACTGAGTGGCTTTCAAACTTTTCGGTATGTCCACCAATACCCGACATGATGCAAGTCTCGGATGTAATGCGTGGCAATCCGAGTTTTTCCGAAAGAGCCTCTTCAATTACCGTTTTTTGGGCTCCAGTGTCAAAAAAGAACAAAGCTTTTTCAAAACTGTGCGCTTTGTGGTTCCAAACATTCCCTTCAGCTGTCATGAGGACGAGCTGCTCGCTTTTTCTATGTGCAGAAGGCATGCAGTTTTCATTTTGGATGTTTTGGTTTGAAGCAAGCGGTTGATTAGCCTTTGCTGCCGGCGTCGTATATCATTTCCAAAATACGCTTGTCTGTTAGTGGGTTGTGTATTCCTAACAGGAAAACTGTTGTTAAAACGATTTTGGGTGGTTTCATTTTTCGACCACTTGGATGCGTGCGGCTGGCTCAACGCGGAGGGACCCGGATATCCCGAAGAAAGGCAGACGGACGCATGATGAGCGCGTCCGCATCTGGAGCAGTCCGCCGATTTGCAGCTGCTGCTGGAATGTGAGTTTTGGAAACATTTCCAACACCTTCTCTGCTGTTTGAGAATGTCCCGGCGTTTTTGCCGGTCGACGATAGACCTGCACGTAGCGGCCTGGTGGTTCGACTTGCCGCAGAAAATGCAGTCAGCTGGTAAGTTCGGGCGACGATCTTGAGGATGTGACCCTTGTGAATCAGTACTGGTAGTACCGAGGCGTAGCTCCACATAGGCCTTGGCTGAAATTTCCCTGTCCAAGGCTTCTAACAGGTCCTCGACTTTCATTGTATCGGTCGCCTGATTTTTCACCAGTATATCCTTGACAATTTCGTAAGGAAATTTTTTGAGGATGGTCTCCGTCCACATGGGGTCACACATAGGACGAATGTCGTAGCCCGCGGACACCATCTGATTGACAAGTGTTTTTATGGAGTCGAAACACTCCTGGCAGCTCTCCGCCTTTTTATTTGCGGACCTGAGCTCGAACAGTTTCTGCACAATTTTGGACCTGTTCGTAGTTTTATTACCAAAGCGTTTCGTTACAGTATCGACCATCCAGTCGTAATTGGCTGGAACCGGCTTGATGCCTCGAATGGCTTTCTCAGCTGCTCCTTGCAAACTTTCTCTGAGATGTACGATCTTTTCGACTGTAGATAACTCGTCATTTTCATGTATGAGCGTCTCAAAGACGGCCCAATACTCTGGAAATTCTTCCTGGCTACCACTAAATGTCGGTAATGCGACTGATGGCGCTTTAATAGTACGTGTTTTTCTAACTGGCAATGTTTGCGTGTTAGCAGACTCATTGCTAATCGTACTAGACTCGCCTGGTTCGTCTTCCTGAACGTTTTGACTGGAAGACTCACTTGCCACGTCTTCCTGAACATTTTGACCGGAAGGTTCTACGTGGACAGGGATTTTCAATTTACATTGTACCTGTTGTAATTTTATTTTTGCGTCTGTGATCTGAGTTTTAACCCTGAGCACGAAATTGGCGGACTCGTTAAGAATTTTAGAGTATTCCGATTCTTTTTCAAACTCTTCAATCTCCGCAATCCATTCTTTTTGCTCAGTTTTGGATTTGATACCCATGAAAACTTGCTCCATACTGTCAACTTTGCTCTCGAGCGTTTCCGTATACTCCTTTACCTCGTCTAGGCACTCAGCTAATGATATCAAGTTTGCTGCGCATTTATCATGCCGTTCCTGATCGTCCTCTGGGTAGTCGACCTTTTTTCCGTGTCCATTAGCTTCGTACGTTTTGAGAAGCTCTGACAGTCTGGACGAACTGGTACGGATGGCTTTTTTGTGAAAATATAGAGACATTTTTGATTATTTGGCTCTAACACAAAAATTTCCAACTGTTTTTGAGTTGGGAAAGTGTGACAAACAAAGGCTTGTAATTTAGGGCTAGCTGAGTCCCAAGGTCGAGTAGATCAACCTCAAATACGGCGATAGTTTGGCCGTTGCACCAAAAATGTGGCGGCTTGAGGCTTATGGTATAGCCTAATGTGTATAGGGCGTATGGCAGGCCCTTTTTAGTACAATAAGAAAGTGGTTCAGTGGTTATGTTTATCAGGATATTGACAACGTGCTCGGGAGAGCGCAAAACGAAGAGTGCGGGGCTACGCGCCCCGCCCCTAATGCAAGAAAGGGGGCCGCCATCGGCAGGGGTTCTGGCGTGGCCAGAACAGCGTCAAAGTGGGCGTGCCTACAGAATTTCTTAGGTGCCACAAAGAAAACGTAATGGACTATGTGACAAATAAAAATTTGAATTGAAAAGATACTATCAAAACAAGTTAGAAACAATCTTTGAAGAAAACGTCCATGAATAGCGTCCTTTTCGGATTTATATGGCATCCCGTCGAATGGCAAGAAGATTTTTTTGAATAAAAGGACACTGTGAACAGCGCTGATCCCGAAATTTAAATATTATGGTACGCCGTTTGTACCTTTAAAGGCACGCGGCCGGTCCTGCTTATAAATTGCGCAGCTCGTACTGGGCGTTCGGTAACCATACGGCGCTGAAACGCCATTCGCCATGGAGCGCGAATTGTGATTGGGGCGGATTTCCTCACCTGACTTCAACTTGCTCTCATTAAGGAATAAGATCCGGACCGAACTTTGCACACATACTTTCGGGGTGTGGCGGGAGTGTTAGCCTACTTGTTTTTATCGAGTGATAGTGATTATATTGATTTTTTTGCGAAGTCTGAGCTACGGGCTGTTTGGTGTGTACCAAGTGAATTAGGGTAGACGAAGTTGTGTGGAATATTTATTCACACTGGCGTAGATTAGTTGAGAGCGATTATCGAGGTGTCCCGGTATGGACCGGGGAGCAACCTCTAATACTATAATTAATGCCCAATTCGCATGACATAATGATTTACGTTGAACTGATGGCCGTTCGATTTGAGCTAACGTTCCCTATTCTGTTGAGTCATTGTTATGAAATTCGCATAGCCCGCAACTGCCATTTTCCGCCGCTGATGGTGCAGTAAAAACCTTATCGGGGTACTTTCGTGGAAAGATATGACTTATGTCCACTCTGCAAGAACGTGGAATTTCTGTTAAATATTGATCTTTTTGGAATGTTGTGTTTGATAAGCCAAAAGTTTCTTTGCAATCTCTTAGAGGGTCTAGCAAGGGCTTGAAGATAGTGATAACTGCTCAAAGTAAGTAGTCCGAATATAGTTTCACAAGTGGAACTGGCACCATCAAGTACTTGCACTTGAAGTGTCAGTAATGGCAGTAGGAAAGAGATGTGGGTCTAACCGCCTTCCTACACTCAGTCCACAACCAGTGTAGAATTGTTGCCCATGTAAGGAAAAACGGCCATCGACTTCCATAACATTACAAACTGCAACTAAAACTGGGACTAAAACGCTCACATACCATTCGACCTCACTAACCTGAACATGCAACGGACGAGCATAACCCCGATTTGACTGGGACTGACTGTCGTATACGGTAATTCCGGGCATCCCTCTATTTCGCAATGCTTACGGTGCTCTTCCATTCGAGACTGCTCGGTAGCCACTTGCCGCTTGCGGATCACTCTCTCAAGACTCAACTTCAGTGAGTCACAATTTTGTACTGCCGCTATCATCTATTCAAACATAGACCTCACCTCTGCGTCTGCGACCATCTCGTACTCGGCCGTCGTTGTCTGCGCTCTGACCGTCGCTTCACAACTGGTTCCACGGGCCGTGCATAGCTTTTTTCAAAAAGTGTATGGGCTCAACCACATGTGCTGGATGCAGTTTATTGCATCGTAGATAACCATCATAACTTTGATAGCTACTTTTGACAGCATTGTGCTCTGTTGTAATTATGAGTAGGAACGCGTACACACCGGTTATGAGTCAGCGAACGATTCTTGTTCTAGAAAAAGCTCGATGAGTTTTCGCTGTGTGTGGATTTACGTGAAATATCGACGGATCTTGAACAATCACATACCACATGCCTTCACAAGGTTATCCAGAAAATTAGTCAGGCCTTACAAGTGGTGGTGGACAAGAAGGTATGTTTTCAAGTAACAGAGAGTGGTTGTGGCGTAAATTTTTCTTATTACTATAATTAGGTGCGTATGAGCTATGCGCTGGGTCAATGTAGCATTTTTTTATGATGGAAGATTAATGCTTAATTACAATTGATTAAGCGAAGTAGTGAAGAATGTTTTGCATCCTCAAGGCGGCGTACTTTTTCTCTCTGCAGTGACAAGACGCTCAAATCTTCAAATGAAGTGAACTGTTTTCCCATGAGCATAATAATATCTAGTTTTTGGTCCTCAGCCTTCAAATTGTATCAGTTGTGATAGTGACAGATGGCTGAAATTGCGCACCGTCAATTTGCTGATGATGTCTAAAATATGGGTTTTGTTTGTGTAAGCTAAAAATCAGTTCTTAAGCAGATGAGAGTTCACTCTGCCTAGCGTGTTGTCTAGCTGTCTTCTCGTGACGTTTGCTTCAACCGCATGGCGAATACCAGGGTGTTATCTTAAACCTACATTTTGCTTTCTTCTTGCATGTTATCTTGCAGATCTGTGGAAGGATTGTTAGTGATATTTTTGATAACTTTCTTTATTAAGTAATATTGCACAAGTAAGTTGAGTTGTAAAGAGACGTTCCCTGTCAAGCTGGACATCTCATGATGTCCAGTCCGCAGAACGCGTCAGCTGTTCCTGTCGCATAAAGAATGCGTTAATTTTTGTGCCATTCTGCAGAGCGAACTCATTTGTTTACAGGTTAAGCACGACATGATGATTGAGAAACGAGTTCTCGATGATTTGGTCCAGTTTCAAGACATGGAGAAAGCTTTATGCAAGAGTAGAGAACGATTGAGCAATGCTTTCACTGGTATGTTTTCCGCATAATTCATCTTCATTTACATTTCACCTCAGTATCAGAATTAATGAGGAATATCAGTCAACTGTGTTGTCCATTTTCAGTAAAAGACATTTTTTCTATGCGAATGTGCGCGTGAGTCAACTATTGTATGTTCTCGCCCCCAAACTTTTTTCAAAAATGCTCAGTATATGGCAAATGGCTGCAAACGCCATCATAATCAAAGAACACTGTGAACGTTGTGCTCGTTGTTGAGCCAGCGCATTGTTTTCATTCATATAATGCACTGACATTACTTATTTTGCATGGAAACGGTGGTTTTTTTTTCTAATCTGATGTACTTACGAGCATGTACTTCTTATTGGGTAGTGCTCGCTGTGTCAGCTACATAAAGTTCGGAGTCGTTCTGTCTGTATTGTAGAAGAAGAGGCTTGCATAAGGTTATAAACATGACTGACTGATCACTCGTTATATCATTGCCTTACAGTGTTGTGGTTGTAAATACTGTGCTTTCAGATGTCGATATCGCTAAAAAACAGTTGGGAAAAGCTCACAGCACTAGCAGTAATATGAAACAGCTGCAAGATAATCTCGATGTTGCACAGCTCAAGCTCGAAATTCAAAAGGTGCATACCTTTCACGTATCATGCAATCTATGCGTGGTGTTTTAGGACAATACAATCACGGATGTGTACTCCTTAGCCACGAAGGAACAAGAAATTGCAAAGGTATTTGTCCTTTATCAAGTGGACAATTACCTAAAAATTTGTACTATAGGTGTTTACTGCGCTGCTGGAAGAGCAGCTCGAGTATCACCGCGATGCGATGAGGACGCTGGGGATGGTATTACCTGAAATTCGCCGAGACATAGGTGAGCGCGAATATAGTCTTACTTACTTTGAAGATCACTTGAATTTTTCTTGTTGTTTATTCGCTTGGCTCGAGCTTGAGTAATTCATGTTGCAAGTTCCCTAAACTCGTCTCATCGCGCTGATATGTACCGTCGAATCATGACAAGCAAAGACTGGGCGACCAAGCATGTGCCTCTAATGGTTATATTTTTTCCATTTCATAGAATTATCTTTGCTTTTTGGTGCTTGAATGCTGGTCCATTTACTAGCGAACTTTATATTTCTTTTTCTCCTTCACAGCTCATTACATGGGATTGCCATCGTTGTTGTCGAAACATACCTTTCTTTCGATTTTCGCTCCTATCTTTACGTACCCCTACGCTTCTTCTGCATAAGGTCGTGGAAAAAGAAGAAAATGAAGATAAATCGGTGAAAATACAACCCTCTTTATCGGATGGGATCGCTGAACTACACAGTTTTCCCTGTGCGCGCTAAGCACTTCGCAAACGTTGGGACACTACTCATTTTTGTTACAGATAATGCCCGACCACGACCAGTATTTGGTATCGACCTAAGTGAACACCTGCACCATACTCAGAGACGTGTAGCTCTGGTTCTAGAAAAATGTTGTTCAATGCTCAGAGCAAGTGGCTTTACTGAGCCAGGTTTGTTATTTGACTTACGTATACATGTATTATCTACGCACTCTTAGAGTAGGCTCGAAAATAGCTGTAGTTATCAACCCCTAGGTTGTTTTTTGGACATGCACATCGTCCGCAGCTTCCCACAAAATATACGCTGTCATCCATGCGTGGAACGAAATGAAAGAAGCTAATATCATGACTTCGCTACAAATGTTTCCCACATCTCTCCTTTGTGAAGAAATGAAATCAATCAGCTATCTTTTGAACCTGCTAGTCTTATTTCTTATCCTTGTCATATTCGTCTTGCAGGCCTTTTCCGAGTGAATGGAAACAATACAAAAATCCGCAGGATGAAGGCGGCTTTTGACGCTGGACAGATCGACGTTAGTGCTTGGTTGTATATGCTGTTGTGCTGTTTTGTTCAGTAATGAGTTGGTGATCTGTCAGGTGGACGAACATGCTTATTGCATGGATCCCCATTCTGTCTGTAGTGTGCTGAAGAGCTATCTCAGAGAACTACCTGATCCTCTTCTTACTCATCGACTACATAACAATTGGATGAACGCGGCAAAGTTAGTTGCTTCTTCATACTTTTCCATCATTATTCTTAGGTATCATCTGCTCTTTGTATCCAGGCTAGAGGACGAGGCCAGACTGCAAGCTTTTGAGCGATGCATCGGGGAACTTCCAGCGTGTCATCGCCACAATCTCACTTACCTCATCAATTTCCTCTCGGAAATGTTGCAACATCAAGAACAGACACGGTAAGTCACTTCCTCATCACTGTAGTCTCAATCTATACAATATCATATTCTTTTTCCATGCTTTTCTTATTTTTAGCATGAATTGCGGTAACCTCGCCATTGTTTTCGGTTCCCTTTTGGGAGGTGACCTAGGTGGCAATAATACCATAGGTATCAAGGTATTACTTTTTTGCTGAGAACATTTTTCCACTGATTGCAGTGGGATTTTTTTGGTTTTTGTTTAAGATTGCCGAAACCTTGTTGAAAAATGCTTCGAGGTTATTTGGACGTTCTGTTGTGAGCAATAGTGGAAATAACAGTGGTGAGCATTCTCCAGGACGACTTACTGTGGATACGAATTCTTCACTGAGACCGGGCCAGTCTAAAGATAGGTGAGAAGAATTGTTTGTACATTCACGCCTTGTGCTGTATGTTGTAAGCTCTGTGACAAGCTGCGCTTTTCTCAAAATATCATCTTTTAGACTGGAGTTTGGCAGCATATCTTCATGCGGTACGTCACCACCTCGGGGACGGCCCAAGCAACGTGCTCGACCACCTCCTTATGTCACTCCACAGACTGGTACGTGATGATCTACCTGCTTACAGATATAGTTTCTATTCGGAAATATGTTGGAATGCGTCATTTTGCGAATTTATCACCTTGCTTATTCTTCGCAGAAGTTTAGTCATTTTTATTTGTATCGTAATGCCTGACGGCATTCATTAAACACCAAGAATTAATGAGTACTTGTACATGACCAATTGGTGAGACTTCTACAGGTTCACTGATTGACCACAGCCACAATTGTAACAATGCGGAGCAGTCGGCAAACACCTCAACTTCGTCTAGAATCGAAAGTAGCCTTACGCAAAGTGAGTGTACTCCCTCTAGTAGATAATTCTGCTGCTGATGATGAAATGCATGAAATTTTCTACTTACAGCTCAGACCCTGACCTCTGCCGACCTCAATGAGTCTTCTGGTATGTCAGCAACAGCGGAATCAGATGATTCATTTGACGAGTGGGGAGATGAGTCCTTTACTGGGAGCATGTCGCGCAGCCAGGGAGATGTAGCCGTGGCATCGCTCACCACTCCACAGCGACCTGTATTGTCAGACTTCATCACGAAATGGGATATTATTCAGTAAGCATCGTGTTTCAGACTTTCCGGAACGTCTCAGAAAGCTCTAATAATCGGCCGCTATCTTGCAATAAAGCTTTCGTGGTGGAAACCGTTCCAGTTTCACGCTCTTGGGGGTCTCGCTTAGTCATCCTCTAAAATTCATCTTCATTCTGGGTCCATCAAGAGACCTTCGATATTGAGTCGGGAAGACATTGTTGGAGCAGATGTATCCAGTAGATGCGCATTTCACGTTATTTCATTTTCCTTTTTTGTATGAATAATGGTGACAACTATCTTGGTACTAGTGTCGAAATGCGGAGTAGAAGAACGGATACCTCAATCAGGCACCAATCTACGGACTGCGCCCGAAATTTGTCACTATGTAAAAGCATACGGCAAATCTAAGCTTGGATCTTCGCTCTGAAACATCCAATGGTTGACCTATACAGTTTAGAACACTTTTTACAGCAAAAAAAAAAACAATCTTCGACTGCAATGCTATTTTTCAGTTTCAAAACAAGTTGTGGCCGTTGAAGCTCCTTCATTGCCAGCGCGAAACAACAAGCCGCTCCGGTAAAGCCTCGAAGTGGTGACAATGAGACGTCACGTCTTTGTTTATTCACTTACAAGCCAAGGGTGAATGCTATAGTTCCTTTTTCCGAGATCTTTCTCCTAGGAATACGCAATATCCTTTTCCAATACGGTCTTTTTGACGTTCGTAGTGTCTGGGTAATTCCTACAAAGTTTCAAATTGTCATTTTATGAACCGCTGTCATGTGATAGACTCCACTCTCTACGATTTCTTTCTTTGTTGTGTTGTGCTTGAGATGATTTATAAAGGACATTTTCATTTTTGTCTGCACAGATATTATAAAGCCAGAAAGGAAATTTCATTTTTGCGTAGATCATAGTTGCTACCAGGATCAAGCGAGGGGTGAGGCATGCCATACCTGGGGGTCGTATTGAGGAATCAGGGAAGGAGGGGGGGGGTCGTTATCAAGGCGTCCGCTGTTCGCACAACATGATATTTGTTAACAAAGTCAGACAGGCCCGTCATGCAAAATATTAGGTTGGTGCAGAAGTTCGTTCGCACCAAATTTAAAAATTCATAACTCTTTAAATTCTCAACGAATTTGTACAAGCAAAATTTTGCCTAAGAGAGGAACTCATGCTCTTTGCATCTGTTCCTGAACTATTCGTTAATGTATACAAATGAAGGGGATAGAAGCTCAAAACCAAAATCACTCAAAATTTGAATTTTTCGTGTAGGGTCATAAAAAATCGGTAACTTGCGATAAAAATCTGAGCAGTATTGTAGGCTCTTTCACAAGCTCTTTCCAACAGTGCAAAGTTTGCGCCGATTGAGCGTCTCTATGAAAAGTTATGATTTCCCTGAAAAATGCCAAAATAAATCAAATTCGCCCTTTTGTATTGCTTGCTCGAAAATCATAACTTTTCACAGAGACGCTCAATCGGCGCAAGCTTTGCAGTGTTGGAAAGAGCTTGTGAAAGAGCCTACAAAACTGACTGCTCAGATTTTTATCGCAAGTTTCCGATTTTTTTTATGACCCTACACGAAAAATTCAAATTTTGAGTGATTTTGGTTTCGAGCTTCTATCTCCTTCATTTGTTACATTAACGAACAGTTCAGGAACAGATGCAAAGAGCATGAGTTCCTCTCTTAGGCAAAATTGCGTTCGTACAAATTCGTTGAGAATTTAAAGAGTTATGAATTTTTGAAATTGGTGCGAATTGCACCAACCTAATACTAGCACATTGGTGTTTGACCCATTATCGTATACGTACAGTAAGCATAATTGAAGATCTATAAAGCAAGAGCATCGTTTTGTAATTAGCAAGTAAAATAACCCCTGTGGTCCAAGTTTCAGCGAATTCTGAGGTCTTCAAATATATGGCCGCATAAGTGAGATGGTCGTTTTCTAAAGGTAAGTTAACTGTTTCTTTTTGCGCTTACCTAATACAAAGAACTACTATTTCTTTCCTCACTTTCGGAACTGCTTTCAAATGACTTCCAAATTAAGCAATTAAGAGCAAGCCAAAATCTCGTTTGTTCCATTTTTCGTTTTCAACATCTCAGGCTAGAGAAGACCAATCAGACTCAAATCACATTAATGTAGATAACGAGGCTTATGATGTCGAATATATACGTTCTTGTCGCCTTCCCTTGCGATTTAGGTAGTGGCGCAGACTTAGCATGTTACCGCATCCCAATATTTTCGCAGTATTTTACATTTGCGTAGGTAAGGAAAAACGACTATATCCTGCTCTTCAAGAAATGTTTTCATATTAAATTTCTGCTATGTAAAGAAGAAGGTTAAGCAGCAACAACGATATAAAAATCGCAGCTATTTAATCTGTTTGAAGGTAAATGGGGTGCGGCACCACCCCTAGAAAGCTGTGGCAGCCACAGCTTTTTAGGGGTGGTGTCACACCCCATTAACTATATCAAAAAAAAAACATTTTTAGCGAAAGCTATTAATATGAATCAATAGCCTAAGCTTCGTAGATTTCATGGGAGTGATTTGAGCCTGATTCGTCTTCTTAGCTCTGAGTATTATTTGATGAAAGTACAGCCATTAAAAGCGAAAAATAGGAAAAACAAGATTTTGGTTGGCTTCTAATTCCAAAGTTAGGAGGTCTTTTGAAGCGAGATTTCTGAAGTGGCCAAAGAAGGAGTAGTGCTTTGTCTTGAGTGCAAAAACAGCTAGCCACATCATCTCTGAAACAAAGTTAATCATGCTGGAAAATGGCGATTTCACTTGGGTACCCAGTATCTTGAAACTACAGAATTCGCTCAAACATTGTCTTCAGGGGTTAATTGACATGCTGACTATGGATATGTTGCCCGTTATGTTTGACAGGGCCTTCAAGTAATGCTTTCTTAGGTATTTAGTTCAGGGGGTCTTATTGAGACAGCAATAAGAGGGGAGGGGGGGGGGGGGGGGGATCGTAACCAGCGATCGTGTGCCACACCTCTTGCTTGACCCTGGCCTCCTTAATCTAGGTCACACCATGCAGCTAGGTTACTACTTCATATTCTTGAAGCCTCAAAATGAGCAACAATGTGCTCAATTTCGCAATTATTCTGTACGATTTTTTTTTCGCAATAAACTGCTTATGGCTTCGTCTAAAAAGGCGCTAAGCAGATATGGAACATGGATTCGAAATCAGCGTAGAATGCTGCATCGAATGGTAGGCAGCTTGCTTGGATTTGGCCACTTCGACCTCTGGCCATTTCTTTGTTAGTAGAAAGTAAGCAAGAAAGTAATACATTCCTTAGGCCTCGGGCAGAGTTCACGCGATTTGATCGTCGCAATTTAGTCGCGACAAGATAACTGTTACGAGTTCATTGCATGCCAAACAGCTTGCATTTCGGTTGTGATACTTTTCCAGCACATTTTTGAATGTAAAATGAAAATGAATGGAAAACACGGCGAATGAATCGCGACGATCGAATCGCTTGAACTCTGTTCGAGGCCTTAGGAAATACATCTACTCTCTTATACAGCATCAATGCCGTTCACTCTCCCGACGGTTACGTTTTTTTGAAAATTGTGCGAACGAACTTTCGTTTAACCTAACACTTTCGGAGCGTTTATACGCTCACAAGTTCATGCATCCGCGCTCTCTTCCCAGGAAGAGACAAGTGGTGTAATCATATATTAGGTTTTCTCAGAAGTAAACTCCGTTTTCAAACAGAGCGAGCTGTTTTTGTTTCCTCAACAGACTTGGGTACCATTTGGTGAAGCGGAGCAAGCTCTACAAAAATATCACCAAAGACACGTAACTAAGGAAGCATACTTGGTAACCGTGGCCCTTTACAATGCAACGTACACCACTGAATGCATTTGGAAGTGCTGAATCCAAATCTACCTTCATTATCTGCTGTGCGCTCTTCCGAAAGACGTTATAAACATTTCTTAGCACTAGAATTTGAGCTGTCTCAATAACAGGATTTAGTTGATATCGTCGGAATGGTCACTTGCGCACCACAAAAGAGCGTTCAAATGAAAGAAAGCTTTACGTTAAGTTTAGGACAACTGCCTCGGATATATCCGAATCTAAAAGCCTAGATACTGAAGATTCTGATGGCCTAGATTTCGTAAAATTAATATGAAAAAAGGCGTTTTAAGGCGCATCTACTGATATACACATCGTTGCAAATAGCCACGATCACCAAGTATTCTTCCCTTATAAGTCGTAATCTAACAAGTGAAATTGTAAGTGAAATTTGTAAGTGAAATTAGGAGCCAAGCCAAACTTGAAAATTTCGGCTACCTTAAAAATCACATGTCTTGCCAGAAAATTCCTACGGACTTCCAACTTGGTCTCTTTACACAGTAGACAATAGTATTACACAAAATGTATTCGGCAGATTTTTTTCAAGTTTAAAATGAGAAACAATGACGGTCCGAAAATGCTAAAAGGCCACTTATTTCGGGTTTCTCATGCCAAACTTGGTATTTTTTGATCATAAGAGCACATACAAGGGGTAACTTTTGAGATTATACGTACGGGGGAGAGTTCCCAAGTCAGCTCGGCCAACCCGGATGAATCATATATTACCGTAACTGGCATGAAACGCTGATTCCAAATCTGCTTTTTTTTCTGCGGAACAACTCTAAGAAAAAAAAGTTATGCGCGTTTGAAAGTCTAAATTTGTCAAGTTTTAGGTGGCTTAAAATTGGCGAAACCTGTACAATAACATACGAAAGTGACTTATCAGTTTTCTATCAAGTATATTGATCACAAAGACGGAACACGAATAGTGAAATTCCGTTAGGTGTTGTTTTACAGGTTTCAACTGATTTTAAGCCACTCTAAGCATGACAACTCTAGACATTCAAACGATCATAACTTCTCTCAGAGAGTGGTTCCGCAGAAAAGGAAAGCAGATTTGGAATCAGCGTTTCAAGCCGGTTATGATGATATACGAATCATCCGAGTTGGCCGAGCTGACTTGGGAAGTCTCCCTTGTTAGTAATTTAGTAAGGCTTACAATACATATACATATGTGGGAGGAGCTGGGTTTGCCATTTTTGGACTATCTTTATTCTCTCGCTTTCTATGGGCGGAAAAAAATCCAGCAGAGGCATATTTGTGTATTACTATGTGCCTACTGTATAATGATCAAGTTGGAGGTCCATAGGGTTTTTCTTGCAAAAATCCAATTTTCATGTGACAGTTTTTTTTCCTTCGATTTCGATTTCGACTTCAGACTCTAGACTTATACGGATGTTCGCTGGCCATTTTGTAGAGCTTGATCTGCTCTATCGAATGATACCCAATGTCTACTAGGAAAACAAAACAGTTTGATATTTAAAAAAGGAGTTTACTTTTGGGACAAACATGGATATAACGATTTGTTGGCACATCTAGAGATAACATAAATATTATGAGTGGGTGCAGGAACTGGGAAAGAAAAATTGGAACTCATTTATTTGATATTTTAGCATCTAATAGTTCACTTGAATCATTTAGCTATGCAGTTTGTAGATGTTGTTCAGTGCGTCCTTGAAATGAATTCGTTTTCACTTTCGTAAAAAAAATTCGTGGCTTCTTGCTCCATGATGGTGTTTTGCAGTAACTTTACTTCGCACAGTGGGTCGTGGAGGAAGCTCCTAAGCTTGACTGAATAATTCAAATATTTTTATCACATTAGAATTATGACGTAAAACAATCTCCAAAAAATATAGCAAGCTTTTTGATGACCACTTTAATCTTCTCACTCGTTCATGTCTGACTTCCCTTTTTTTTACTCGATTATGTGTCTAAGGTGCAATTGGTGCAAGGTGGTTTAATTTTTCAAATCATCGACCAAAAAACTTCCATCCAAGTCAGAATTTGTCATCCAGCATTGCTCCATTTCCGCATCTTCATCTAACTGGCGCACTCGATTTCCTATTCTCTTACGAGCGGAAAAATAAAATATGAAAGCTAGATAAAATGTTTTTTGCCTAATAGGCATTGCTAATCCTCATTATCTACGTGGCTATTCCAATAGGAATACGGCTTGAGCGTATGACTTTCTACAAAAAATTCAAAAATCTGTAATGGTCTCTTCCTCATTGCTGTTCCTCTCATTCTCCAAGTTGATTTCAGTGCCATTAAATGAGGGGGGGGGGGTGAGATGTGCCAAGATGAACGATAGCTGCAAATAGGCATACTGTAGTCCTACGGATGTCAGTAGCCGCGCATGTAGTCGTGCTTTCTGAAGCTTTATGTTCTTCGCTGGACTGAAAATGGTGTTGAAAGATGAAGATTAGGGTCCAAGCAGCTTCTGCGTTTTTCCCATTATCATCACAGCATAAATATAGAATTTGAGAAAGATTTGATTTATGCAATACATAAGGCTGGCCCCTCTCACGTGTGTGTTTTTTGGCTTATCAAAAATTTGAGTGTGCGAGGACTTTCTTTACAGGTAAAAATCTCATACAATTGTTTATGTGAATAGTACGACTATCAATATACAACGGCTGAGTTTGTTTATGCGTTCGTGCATTGTTTATTGTAAGAGGTAATAAAAAACCAATCCCATTACAAGGCACTCTACCTAACTTGCCGCAAGCAATATTCCTAGCATAACCTTCTGTCATGTCTCTTTCATAATCCATTCCTTCATCCAGGACTGCTGCTTTTAGGAGGAAATAACCACTTTTCATAAATTTTGCTTGAAAAATTTGAAAGCTGTTTTCTTCTAGATTTTTACAGTCAATTCCTTTTCCACATAACCCTGTCCATTCTTTGATTACTTACCTTGAAAGAACAGCAAAGCGAATGTAGAGCACTTCGTTTTGGCTTTACGGTCGTGTTATCGACTGACAGCAGAAAACTTTTTTTTTAAAAACATATGTAATGTTTGCCGCAGACTCGTGCTACAAAATGCTCATCAAAAAACATTTTAGAACTTTTTGATCTCGTATATCTTGGCATTGATCTGAGGTGGCGTTCCAAAAAAGCCCCATAAAAGGTGAAGCTCACTGCCATTAAATTTTCGCTTTATATGGTGAGATTTCAAAATCAAGGATAAAAGAGAAGAAAAATTCTCGAAGAACTTTTAGAACAACCTAAGGATACTATTTTGAAAATAAATCGGGGCTTCTTTGAACCATGAATTTCACTACATTCATTTTCCAATCATTTTCTATTTAGCACTTGAACCTGCTTTTTTGATGTTGACTTTTGATAGCTCACGCGCAGTACACGTGGAAAATTGTCAGCAAACCTTCTTCATAAAAGAAATGTGCAAAATAAAAGTTTTCATCACAACTCTTTAGGGTGTTCTGATTGTCATTGCACTTACATTTTGTAGGAAATCGGAAGAAAAGGCACTATTCTCGCCTTCTAACTACCAATCGCGGCTGACTATACCAAGATGCTCTTTTGATCACACTGAACAATTTCTTTGACATCAAAGTGTGCTGATTCTCACAAAGCAGCTGCAGTCTAAGTGATTTGCGTCGTATTCGCTCACATCGAAAGATCGAAAGAGAGCAGCAATTGCATTACTCAATTTATGCTTTGCTCTGTCTCTTTCTGAACAAGATTTACTTGATGAAGGATTGTTTCAATTGCACGCTAATCTAATGCAATGCTTCCACCGTCTATCTTGTATTTTTGACCTTATCCTTCAATTAAACTGTAAAATTCGATCTTCTGTACCTTCATGGGAGTCGCCATCATGAACTTCTTTGGGAAGGCAGCCTCGCCCTTTGAAACCTGCAATAATATGTTTTTCAAAAACGGAAAAGTAAAGCTGGTCCCTAACTAAGACAACTAGCAACTTTCCTTTTGTTTTCGATACTCTGAGTATCACGGGGAAAAGGATACAAAGTGAAACAATGACATATCCACACATTCTTCAAGAGCCCTGATCTCGATGCGCTGAAGGCCTAAGCGAGCATCACCAAAAACATCTATAAATTAGACAAATTTCGTTTGACATTCGTTTACGCAATGTGTAAACAACGCATTTTTGTAATTTAATCATCACTTGAATGGTGATTGAATGGGGAACAATGATGTGTCTTGCTGCATGCAATGAATGTCAGCTTGTTCTTTTTTCTATGGGTGAACCATTTTTTGTATCAAAGTCTTTTTTGAAGTACTATAAGATCTATTTTATTCTTTACACAACTAATTTCTATCCTGTCAAGCTGCAGCAACGCTCTTTCAAGTGACATCAAACCATAAAATCCATGCCAAGAGTAAAATTAGAAGTTGCTGGACCTTCAAGCATCTTCAGCATCCGAGAAACACAAAAAAAACATTTTGTGTTTGTCTATCAGCCTTATTGATGACAAACATTGGTTTTTACTCTGAGCATTGAGCGCATGCTTTTTCTCTAATATTATTTTGTCAAAGGGGAACACTGAAAGCGGAGGAACTTGGACTTCATATTTTGGTGAAAGGCTCATGTTCCAATTCTGCTTCCAAACTTAGTACCTCCTATCAGGAATGCCAAACAGTTTCTTTTTCGAGTTGGTTGCCTCAAAATTACAGAATGAAAAATTTGTCTGTTGATCTTTTCTACGATCCTATTCTTTTAATAGTAAGACTGCTAATTCGCATCCTTTCATCAGTGAAGAATAACAATGTCTTTCTTCAAAATGTGAGATGACTAGTGCATTTGCATGCATCAGGCACCTCGAAACTAGCGGGCATCTCTAAATAGTCAGCTAATAAAATCATCCATACACTTGCAGATGGATTACTGCAAGTAGCAAGTAAATTTCGTCTATTGGTAAGTTCTTTGCCACGCAATATTTTTGAACTTTTACCATAAGTATTGATTCAGACGCTCAGTCTAAACTCCTCTTTCTTCTGGCACTACTCGTTCGTGTTTTGGTGGTCGTTCTCACCCTTTTTTCACGGACTGTGGTACTTTCCTTTCTGTACACGCATTACGGAAATGAATATTTTACTCGTCAAGTTTTCCAACGAAAATAGGAATAAAAGCATATGTTCGCTTGATGGTGGAATTCACACAAACAGAGATTTCCGATCGACACTCATATGGGTTATAGAAATGTGTAAGTGTCTTGCTTATGATTTTAAATAACAAAACAGTTCTTAAAATTTTTAGATTCAAGACTTGCAAAAAATTTTTTCGGACGGCGTGCTTGCCTATTCTAATTCGAGGTCATGGGCTCGTCGAAATTTTGAAAAGTATCCCAAATTTTCCGGAGCACGTGATTGACGATACCGCTTTTATACTAAAAAATTTTTTTTGTCGCCCCCTCCTTCCCCCGAGCCGAAAAATTAAAACCGCCACTGGTAGATACATAGTTAGGCAAAACAAAAGGAAAAAGCGAAAAAATGTGTTTCTTGCAAAAAACTAGTTATAAAAAACGTTCTAGCTTCTCCCTGATTTTGGATCAAAATGAGGTGATTTGTCCTTGCGTGTGCTTGAGCTTGCTTTTCAAAGATTATTTCTTCGCCAATTTGTTGATAATCCAAATAAAGTTCTGCTTGGCAGAAATAGCAAATAATGCGTGGTATCTCAGAAGGTGATGCTGCGACCTTAGTCAGATTCAGACCAACGCACTATGAGGTGCCTGATGCATGCTTTAACACGAAAAATCCCTCCATCAACCTAAGAAATATTTTAAATGAATAAAAAAATTTTCTATACAAACTTACCTTAATTCAAACCATAGCGGTTTTCCGCTTTTAGTGCTCCAATGATTTGAAAGATAGCGTGTAGGTGTAGAAAAGCACACCTTTTCATGACGAGCCACTCAAATTTGTTACAACTGTATAGTTTGAAAGCACTGAAGGTGGGACCCGCTAATTGTTTCTTGTTCTAGGAGTCCCATTCTGCATCTCGGCAGTTGATTGAGGCTAGATGCAAAAACAATCAGATTTTGATATCACGAAAGCCTAAAGCCTTTCTAATCCTTTACTTATATTTAGGGAAAACTCTTTATTCAAGCTTTTTATTTGTGACAAAACGCTTTGCTACTGCATTCACTACCACTCGATTTACGTAGCTCTTGCTTCAGAATGAATTTTCCATGGGTTGTAGGAGTCGAACATAGGGGGGGGGGGGGGAAGGGGAGGGAGCGAGTAGTGCGGAAGACTTTTCTAATTGAGTCTTGTCTTTGTAGAGATGATATAGTTTCTGAACAGATGACGGATTAGATCTGCTCATTCTCTTCCTGAGTCGATGTTCAATGAAAAGAACATATGATCAACTGAACTTTATGGGGGTACGAACGGAACATTAACAATATATAGTACGATGAAACAATACTGTATAAGGTTATCCCCGAGTCATCTACATGTCAGTACCCGCGTTGACCGTTTCAATTTTGCAGAATTCTCTATTTGACCCGCTAACTACTTAGAAATCTTAGCATTTAGTGTTATCAGGTTTTCTGCAATACATTCCTCTACTTTGAGCAGCATTACTTGTGAGTCTCAGCATCTCTGCTATCTAAAGCAGTTTCATAAACTGTATTATAGCTCATACACAAAACTAGGTAGCCCTTCTTTTACTCAAAAAGTAAATCATGCTTATACTTATTTTACGAATCTGAATGGCCACTCACAATAGATGCTAATTTTGTTGAAGCGCTTTAGTGGTAACGTAAATTCTGACATAAGTACTGACGTAAGTCCATTATATTTGCTATCGTTTCATTGCACGACAAATTACTTTTTAATCTGTTTGATGTTGATGTTTAATCCGATATGGCTAAGGTTTATAGCATGACGTGTATTTGCGCTCTTTGCTTTTCCTCTTGAAGATTTTTAGCTTGAATTTGCCACCCTCATGCCGGGCCCCGTAAAGAATACCAGGAATTACAGTATATCAGGGAGTGTGATGTTTCAGCGCGGCTTTATCCACTTACGTGAAAATTGAAAACTTGGCACGCATCAAGCTACACATTTGCACTACTGAGCAATTTTATTTTGAAATGAATTTTGTTTTAGCATCACTTTCAACTGTCTATTTTTTTTTAAATTTCCCGTCAACTGAGCCCAGTTAAGAAATTATCTTCAGTATATACAGGGTGTCCCAAAAAATGTACTTACTGTTTGATTGTAAATAACTCTCTTGTAATGAAGTGTTTCGAGAAGCTTTAGGTATCATTTTGTAGAGCGAGGTTAAACTTACTTTTACAGTATGGAGCGAATCATCTGTCGCTCTTCATTACTGTAGGATTACGGTAAGAACTTCCAGCATATGGAAAAAGCTGTGAAATATACCACCCAGCAAAATTTTTTCAAAGAATCTGAAAAATCGTGTATGGGGTTTTCGCGCATGCTGATTCCACCAAACAACTCTATACGATTTTCAGCTTTTTTGACGCTGTAATTACATTTCTGACAAATGCTGGGAATCGAGTTATCACGATTAAACGGGGATAAGTAAGACGTAAGAAGCATCACAGTAAAATGGAATTTTCAAATTCGAAATCAGGGCTCCAATTACCGTAGTATAAGAGTTTTTGGCTTGTTTGGTTTTGTTCCGAGGCAGAATATAGCCTCCAATGGTCTAAAATCCTTGTCGAAGTGCGTACCGTAATCCTACAGTAATGAAGAGCGACAGATGATTCGCTCCATACTGTAAATATAAGTTTAACCTCGCTTTACAAAATGGTACCTAAAACTTCTCGAAACACTTCATCACAAGAGAGTGATTTACAATCAAACAGTAGGTACACTGTTTTTTGGACACTCTGTAGATGATTCACAGACACATTAGCGCAGTCTAGGCACCAGCTGGTTTAAAATGGAACAGATGAAACTTCGGACTTTAGCCATGCATTTCATAATCTCGCAGGTGCTAACAGCAGCTAATGCACGTTGTCAACATTAATGTAGATACCAGCTGCTTTGAAACTACAATACCACCCGTAATTTGTGAAAAAAAAATGGCGGCGGCACTTAACTTACGCGGCGCCGCCGAAGTTAGGTGACTTTTGCCGCGTCGCGCGGCAAAAGTCGGCGGAAAAGCGGCCAAAGTCACCTAACTTTGTCGCGCAACGCCTAACTTTTTATAAAAAAAGACCTTATCTTGATTCAAAATTCATGAATTCTATATATAAGAGTACCATTCAACTCAGCTCGGCGAGGCGCATCTTCCAATATACGGATGTGCCTAGTTGTGGGATATAAGTTTCTTTCCTGGAATTTAAATGTAAATGGACCATTCAGTGTGCTTATTCCAGAGGCTACGTACACATTCTATTGAGCACAGCAGAAATAGGGCAGGTATAGTTTAAGAGCTCATTCTGCATGGATATATGTGAAACTGGGCAGCTCATTCTGCATGGATATGTGTGAAAGTGGGCTTTTCTCGGCGAAGTATGACGGGTCCCAAAATGCAGGAAGACAAAGGGAAATGGTTGGAAATCGCATGAGAAGCACATATCGCGGAATGCCGCGCGTGCTGTGCAATGTACAATACCACTCACAGAACGGGAATTGCGCGAAATTCCAGAAGTTTCGCGATTCCGGATTATCGCAAATTATGCAGCGCCATAACTTCCTTCGGAATTAATATATTCTAAATTCGAAAGCAGCACTGTGTTCATCTCGTGAAGGCGAATCTTTCTACGTACATCATGTCATCAATATCTTGTTTTCAGTTTTCTCAAATTGTTCTGAGGAGGTCCCTTTGCAAGTATGTAACGCAGCGCCTATCCAACTTGAAAGCTTCCAGTATGCACCATTCGATAGTGCTCTTCTTGTGCATTATAGTGCGCTAGTAAGCTGCCGCAGGCTTCTTTTCAAAAGAGAAAAAAGCGTTGGTAAATTCTGGAAAAATCACTCGTTTCCAGATTCTACTCGCCGTAACTTTCTTTGGAGTGGATATTTTCTAAATCCGAAAAATGCATTGTGCTCAGCTCATCAAGGCAAATCTTTAGGTATGCGGAATGTCCTTGATATCTCGATTTCAGTATTCTCAAAACTTTCTGCGGACGTTTCTTCGCAAAGGTGTGAAGCAGCGCGTATTGCCCCCAGTACATTCAGAAAGAAATTTTCGATAGTACTTCTTTTGTAGATTATGGAGCGCTGGAAAGTAGCCGCGTACTCCTTTTCAAAGGAGTTAGAAGGGCTGGTGAATTCTGGAAAAATCATGTCCTTCTAAATTTTTCTCAACGTAACTCTAAAATATGAAGCTCTCTTGCTAAGCAGATGTGATTTTCGTAACCAGCAGGTCGGATAACCCTTATGAGCATGTTTTCCAAGATGTTCAAGTAATTTCATTTTTTCTCGTTTTACGCTCTGAAGCTGGCCGATGGATTTTGGTCAAAATGTTCATGCTCTTAAATTGTAAGGAAACTTCGCTTATAGAGGTTTTCGAACACGCTCTTTACGAAAATCGTGGTCCTTGAGGATTACAGGGTCTTTTTGGTGAGATACGGTGAGGTGACTGTAACTGCATCACGAAAGTGCGTAAATTGGCCCGCACTTCTCGCGTATCTGTCAGCAACCTTGCCTGCTTGCTTTTCTCAGTCAAAGTTACTAGGAACTGCGCTACCGAATGGTGCATGAATCAGGCTCCAGTCTGTAAAAATCACCGAGTTACGAGCCTATGAAAACACGTCCTCATGGATTTTGCCCAAAATCTAAAGATGCAAATCTCGTCGAAGTTCCACCGTGAGCGCTTGTACAACACGCTGATCAAAATCTTTCGCGTCCTTAATGGATCTTATTGTGTTAGATTTAGTAGTTTGAGTTCTAGCCACTGAAATAGCTCTGATATTCAACTGAGCAGCTGAAGCATATGCAAGTACCATATTCAATACAGTGGGAGTTTTTGGGCGAAGCGAACACAATATCCGCAATGCGAGTGTCATACAAGCGCTCACGGTGGAATTTCGACGAGATTTGCGATCTTTACAATTTGGGCAAAATTCATGAGAACGTGTTTTCATAGGCTCGTAACTCGGTGATTTTTACAGACTAGAGCCTGATTCATGCACCATTCGGTAGCGCAGTTCCTAGTAACTTTGGCTGAGAAAAGCAAGCAGGCAAGGTTGCTGACAGATACACGAGAAGTGCGGGCCAATTTACGCACTTTCGTGATGCAGTTACAGTCACCTCACCGTATCTCACCAAAAAGACCCTGCAATCCTCAAAGACCACGATTTTCGTAAAGAGCGTGTTCGAAAACCTCTATAAGCGAAGTTTCCTTACAATCCAGGAGCATCAACATTTTGACCAAAATCCATCGGCGAGCTTCCAGAGCGTAAAACGAGAAAAAATGAAATGACCCGAAAATCTCGGAAAACTTGCTCATAGTGGTTATCCGACCTGCTGGTTACGAAAATCACATCTGCTTAGCAAGAGAGCTTCATATTTTAGAGTTACGTTGAGAAAAATTTAAAAGGACATGATTTTTCCAGAATTCACCAGCCCTTCTAACTCCTTTGAAAAGGAGTACGCGGCTACTTTCCAGCGCTCCATAATCTACAAAAGAAGTACTATCGAAAATTTCTTTCTGAATGTACTGGGGGCAATACGCGCTGCTTCACACCTTTGCGAAGAAACGTCCGCAGAAAGTTTTGAGAATACTGAAATCGAGATATCAAGGACATTCCGCATACCGAAAGATTTGCCTTGATGAGCTGAGCACAATGCATTTTTCGGATTTAGAAAATATCCACTCCAAAGAAAGTTACGGCGAGTAGAATCTGGAAACGAGTGATTTTTCCAGAATTTACCAACGCTTTTTTCTCTTTTGAAAAGAAGCCTGCGGCAGCTTACTAGCGCACTATAATGCACAAGAAGAGCACTATCGAATGGTGCATACTGGAAGCTTTCAAGTTGGATAGGCGCTGCGTTACATACTTGCAAAGGGACCTCCTCAGAACAATTTGAGAAAACTGAAAACAAGATATTGATGACATGATGTACGTAGAAAGATTCGCCTTGACGAGATGAACACAGTGCTGCTTTCGAATTTAGAATATATTAATTCCGAAGGAAGTTATGGCGCTGCATAATTTACGATAATCCGGAATCGCGAAATTTCTGGAATTTCGCGCAATT